TTGCTTGGACAACATAAATGATTATGTATTGCTCAGAACAGTAGAGCTTAGTAAAAAGTGGCCCTGCATGCATATCTATGAGGTTCCTGACCAGTTCTGTTCAGTTCAGCAGTGCTTTTGGACTGTACAATATTTTATCCAATAATTCTTTTATTAAAAAGGCAGGAATTGTTCCTCTTTTAATTACCACAAATATATATGAGTATATCCAACATATGTGTAATTTAAAGAATAGTTGAAAAAACACCTATGACCCCCTGACTCTGCTTATGAATTAGAATATCACCAGATGCTCTAAAGTCTCCTGTGCGCCCCTCCCAGATCATCTTTTTCCCTCCTCTGCACTATTCTGAATTTGGGGTTATTCATTCTCTCATTTTGCTTTTGTAAATGTACTTCATATATATCACTAAATAATGCATTGCTTTGTTTTTGCATGTTTTTGACTTTCATATAAATGGAATCATACTCTATTCTTGCATCTCACTCCCCCCACCCCCCGGCCAACATTGTGTTTGAGGTTCTTCCACATGGATGCGTATAGGTCTTCGTTTGTGCTTCTGAGTAACTAATATTCTATGATGCAAACATGCCACATTTTATGTATCCATTCTGCTCATGGGCATTTGGGTTATTTCTAGGCTTCTTGAATAATTCTCATGGGAGTGTATGTAAAGGAGTTCCTAGCCTAGGAATTTGGAGGGCCATAGAGCGTGAGCTTTTCTAGGGAAGTGATAGCTTGTTTGCTAATGGAGTTGCCCCAGCTTACATTCACACCAACAATACATGAAGGTCCCCCATGCTTCATAACCTTTTTTCTTTTCTGTTAAGCCCTTAAAAATGGAAGTATAACAGATTCAGAAACTTGTACAAAACATAAATATAAAGCTTGATGAATTATTACAAAGCAAGCATGTGGGTAACTACCACCCAAATCAGAGAGAATTGGTAACACCCCAGAAGCTTCTCTCCTGCCCCTTCTCAATATTTACCTTCTCCCTCCTCCCCAAAGGTGATCACATCTCTGACTTTTAACACCTTAGTTGTGTTTTACTCATTTTTGAAAGCCGTATAAACTGAATTCATTAGTGTGTATTCACTTATATCTGTCCGCTTCTGTTCAGTTTCATTTTTGTGATAGTCACCCATCTCGTGTGTAGCTTTAGTTCATTCAGTTTCGTGGCCGTATAGCGTTCCATTGTATATCCATTCTCCTGTTGGGAGACATGTGAGTTTCCTATTTTTTGCTACTACAAAGGCACTACTATGAAAATTCTATATATTTCTTGGTGGCACTCGCACAAGTTTCTGTTGCATATGGAACTACTAATGGAGTCGTCCTATTATAGGGTAAACACGTTGAACTTGTGTAGATAATGCCAGTTCCCCAGCTGGTTCTACCACATTGCCGCTCCATCAGCGGTCTAAGAGTTGCTTTTGCCTCGGATCCTCACGAATGCTTGGTACTATGTTTTACATTTTAACTATTTAAATGGATGTAGAAATGATTTCTCATAGTTTTAATTTGCATTTTCCTGACCATAAAGAGGTTAAGCACATTTTCACATAGTTGTACACTGTTTGGATATCTTATGAGGTGCCTGTGTATGTCTTGTGCTGATTTTTCTTCTGAGTTATATATAGATTTTAAAAATTGTATTGTTTATTGATTTATAGGAGTTTTTAAAAAATTCTACATAGAAGTCCTTTTCTTGATTGTACATGTTACCGAAATCTTTTCCCGCGCTGGGGCTCACCATTTCCCTCCCTGAATGAGATGTCCTGAAGAACAGAGGTCTTTGAGTTTAATGGCACGTCCTCTGGAGCTGTATGGCCCCGCACCTGCTGCCATCTCTGGTTGAGTGTTTACGATTAGAAACTAGATGCCTGTCGGATTTGCAAAGGACAGGAACGTGGTCAGACCACCCAGGCGAGCAGAACTTACTTTCCAACATGAACTTCCAGATGACAACCTTTCATGACTAACTTGTTCCCAGACCGAATACAAAAGAGGCGTGAGCTTTAAAACCAAACTGGGATTTTAAGAATAAACACTGTGCGGCTTATACAAAGGTGCTGACACTTTAACCACCAGGGAGAATGGCCAGCTCTCCAGAGTGAAGCCCTTTCATGTCAAGCAGGAGGATTAGCCTGGAGCAGGGCTAATGGCTTGAGCTGCTTTGGCTCCGGTCCTGGTTCCCTTTGGCCCCCGTCTGGGTCGTTAGGCTGAAGCCTTCACTGAGGGTCACCAGAGTGGGGGTGCTGCTTAGTAACATGCTGGACAGCTCAGCTCTGTGCTTTATCCCTCGTCGGGGTGCTATGAATGCATGGGTGAGTGAGTGAGAATGTGGCGGGGAGGGAAATAGCATCCAATATTTGGATTTAATAATATATTTTTCAGTGAAAGGTAAGATATTACTCCTAGAACTTAAGAGAGCTATGGAGAAATTCTTGTATGTATTGAGAAAACTCAAAAAATCCCTTTTCCCTTTCCCATCAATATAGTTGGTGACTTTTTTGAACCTGTTGTTATGGTATCAAGAAGAGATATACTAATATTGACTGTGACTTGAAAAAAAAAGAAAGAAATTGTTTTGAAGGGGCCCATAGAGTGCTGATCAGAATAAATAAATAGAGATGTTGCCTTTATATATATATCACAGTGGAACTTTAGAACACCGAGGCTAAAGAGGAAAGCCCAAAGGCTTTAGAAAGACTTTATTTTCTTAAAGCAGGTGTTTGAGTTAATCCCTCAGAAATACGTTCTGTAAAGGATGGATTAAAAATTATTCTTTTTAAAAAAAGAAAAAGGTAGCACATATGGCTATCTTCCTTCTCCAAGGCCCAATAGATAATGGCAAAATACTAGAAAGCAGATCTAGAAAAGAATACCATTTTTGGATCTGAAGTCTACCAGTGAGTCTGGAAGATGGGAAACAGATGGAGCAAATCCAGGTTAAACACATATGTAGGGTAGGAGTGATTCTGAGTGCTTCAGGCAATAGATACACAGGGCCGCCATTATGGTGAGTGGGCAACTGCATTTGGCTCAGGTGGGTAGCTTTGACCTCTTTCTCTGGTTCCTTCTGGGCAACAGCAGGCTTGAGCTGGAAGTACCCCGTGTGTGGGCAAACCCAGAAGAACTACAATTTTCAGTTTAAAATCAAGTTAACATACACTCCTCCCAGATGGCATGCCCCCACACCCACTTCTTCCCTACAAACCTCTGGAGGCCACTGCATTAAACAGATAACATCAGATAAAAAAAATGTCCATCCATGAATCACTTAAGAAAACATCAACTCTATGAATGTGAGATTCTGACTTAGCAAACCAAAGAACCCTCACCAAGAAAGCAGCATTAACAGCAAACAGGATTGGACTTTAAAGGAAACAAAGTGGGATTTCCTCAGAGGCATAAGAGGAATTTATTGCATGAAATAGGAACAGGCAGCTATTTCAAGAGCCAAATAGATACTATGTTGGAAGTAAAATATTTAATTGGTATTTAAAAAAAAAAAACCCTCAGAAATGGGAAGAAAAGCAAGATGCACACAGCTGAAGAATAAATTAGCAAGCTGGAAGTCCGAATTAAGAAATAATTCAGAAAAGGGATGCTTGGGTGGCTCAGTCGCTTAAGCGTCTGTTTTCAGCTCTGGTCATGATCCCAGGGTTCTGGGATTGAGTCCTTTGTTGGGATCCTTCCTCAGCGGAGAGCCTGCTTCTCCCTCTGCCTGCCACTCCCCCTGCTCGTGCTCTCCCCACCCCCCCCAACAAATAAAATCTTGAAAAGAAAATTCAAAATGTAGTACAAAAAGACAGATTTAGAAAATGAAACAAAGGTTATAAGGTATGGAGGACAGACCTAGGGGTTTCAAGATCCATTTATGTGGGCCTGTCAAAGGAGAGGAGAGAGAAAGAAAGAATGGTTGGGGGTGAGGACGGAGGTTGGGAAGAGAAGAATCAAACAGCCATGGAAAAATACGAGTCGTCGGATTAAAAGTGTCCCCACAGTGCTGATCATGATAAGTAAATAAAGACACTCCTCAGACCTGTTCTAGTGAAATTTCAGTCACTCAGGGTAAAGAGAAGGTCTCAAAAGGCTTTAGGGAGAAGGTAGATGGAATACTGTTTTGATTTAGAGGCATGATGACTCTTGAGGGGGTGAGGAGGGAATCCATCTATGGGGAGATGCTTGGGTGGAAATAGACTTAATACCACAATGTAATTCTACATTTTGGAAATAAAAACAAATTCCTGTTGTTTTCTTTGGCAAACTCTTCTTGGTTGTTAGAGTTACCTGTTTATCCCTGGGGAATGGTTTGGATTCTCTAAGATACGTTCCGGGACTTAGTCAAAAGTGTAGTCTTTGAAATGCTGCACGATCCTGCTTTGGAAGTTAACCCCAAAAGTCCTCTCTATTGCAGCCCCTTTCCCCATCGCTGAGGCCAAGACCTTGTTTACCACCGTGGAGGGCATAGCTGGGATAAGTGGCTGAGATTTCCTTTCAAAATCCAGAGCTTTCCAGTGGAATGGTTGACCATTTTTCCTATGAGGATGGCTTTGTTCAGGCTTGCTGGTAGCATAAAAGAATTGCCCATATTCTACCTTGAGCAAGAGGGAATGCTCTTTACCCTAGATAATCTTTTGAAGTGAGTAGGAAAGAACTGATGCTGAGTTCTATTTCACATTAAGATTGAAATTGCAAGGCTTTGCTTATTGGTAACTTGATAACCATGATTAACTGTACAGGTCACTGGAGTTCTCAGAGTACATGTAGGTTTATTATGGAACAATTAGCCAGGGAACATGAGCTCTGATTCCTTAGCAAAGAGCTCCTTGTGGTGAGGAATGATGATCGGTGTTACTGATTATTATTTATGTAGGGATTTCTCTCTTTTTTTTTTTAGTGTAGGATATCCCATTTTACTGAATGAAGGGACTCTAGGTTTCTGTAATCTTCTGTATTAACGACCTAAAATTTTCTTGTGTGATTCTAGAGGCCAGAGCCCACCAGTTGCTGAATTTAACTTACTCCTGAAAGCTCACACTTTGGAAACCTATGGGGTAGACCCCCACCCATGCAAGGTGAGTGCCCCTCCTAGCAGGCCGACATATAATGATTGTTTTACCTACAAGAGAGTTAATTAGTGTGGGGGATATTACTACAGGCTGACCCATTGTCCCTAATTGGAAGGGACAACAGTAGGCTGTAGTCACATGTTCTGGTGGTTGATTTTCTCCATTGCAAGCCTTCCAATTGCTTGCTAATTGCTATGTAGTAGCCATACTTTACTAAATTAACATATATGATTCATTCATTTATCAAATGGATGGTTCTACCCCTGAGAACTTAAAGGATCCCAACAGATTTATTTTCAAGACCCTTGTCAGCGAGAAGGTAACCTTAATGGAAAATAGAGGGAAAAAAAGACTTAAAATTATATTTTGACATTAGGATTTTTTTTTTTTTTGCTTTCTTTGCTCATATTATTTGATAGTATTTCTCTCAAGCATGTATCAGAATCACCTGGGCTCCACTCCAGAGTTCTGACTCAGAATCGCTGGGGTTACAGCTGGGGAATATGCTTTTTTAGCAAGTCCCCAAGATGATGCACACATTTTCCAGAAATGTTTTATGAAAACAGTTTTCTTCTTTCCATACCTTAAACCAACTACGCATCAACCAGACACTAACTAGAATTCTAAACTAACCGTTTATCTCAGCCAGGCTCTTAAAGGTAAGTTCTTGAGTTCTGCTGGAACATTTCTTTACCCATATGGGATCAGCTAATAGTATTTGGTAAAGTACTAGTTCTAGAGCTCTTAGTGCAGGCTGCTCATTAGAAATACCCAGGGAGCTTCATACTCCTGCCACCCAATGACATCAGGGTCTGTGGGGAAGCAGACCAGGCTCTCCAGATGATTCCAACATGCGGCCGAGGTAGAGAGCTGATAGTACTTGTTCACATTGGCATTTTTATTTTTATTCGCACAATTATTTTAGCATATTTGCCAGAATCCTCTTCTGTAATGGTATAAATCAGTTTATTCCATTTAGTGAATTAGATTTTATCCACAATTTTGAGCCTGTTTGTTTTATTTATTACTTGGAGATGGACTTGATTTTTGTTACCATCATTCCTTTTCTTTTACTGATCTATGCTTAGGTTTTCCTGGTTGAGGCTGGAAGTGAAGTAGACATTTCTGGACATATCTTTACATTAAAACTACCAGGAATTTTTTTTTTTTCTTAAAGATTTTATTTATTTATTTGAGACAGAGAGCATGAGAGGGAGGAGGGTCAGAGGGAGAAGCACACTCCCCGCCGAGCAGGGAGCCCGATGCGGGACTCGATCCCAGGACTCCAGGATCATGACCTGAGCCGAAGGCAGTCGCTTAACCAACTGAGCCACCCAGGCGCCCATAAAACTACCAGGAATTTTGTATGGAATTTAATCAAGTCAAATTAGGGCTTTGGTTTCATAGCATCTTTGATTTTAGGGCTAATGATGACTGAGCACCGTTTGACAACATTACAGGACAGATCCGAGAACTCGGGTGGCCCCAAGACACACTTGGAAATAGACATAGTGGTTTGGGACTAATCTGCCTTTTCCCAGGATGTTCCCGGAGAGGTAGAAGGTCTGTTCCTCCAAGGAAAAAGCTGCATATTCCCAGACCTTCCCCAGATTTTAGAAGCACTATCCTTGGAAGTCCCATTTCAGCAACTTAGTTTATTGCCACGATCAATGGGATTAACCTGAAAGTAACCCAGGGGGTGGATGAATGAGGATACCATTTATCATTTATTTTATATTTCTCATTCTCAATCCAAATGTTTTTGGTTCTCCTTTTTTTCCAGGATTCAACAGGCACAACAACATTTTTAGGATTCACTGCAGCAGGCTTTGTGGTATTCCAGGGAAATAAGCGAATCCATTTGATAAAATGGTAAGGACTTCTTTGGGAAACTAGCTTACCATTTTTCTTAACCTTGCTTTTCTTTCCCAGCCTTTGATACTTTTTTTTTGTTTGGAAATGTCCGGTAGAATGCCTAGTATTCATTTCTTTGCCGTGGAGCATCATTAAAAAGGGATTATTCATCTATAAATAAAAGCCAACCTAGGTTGTCCTAGACCTCAGGAGACTTGGGGTGTGTCTTGGGCTCAGGGGCTCTGTCTCCAAAGAGAAGGTGCCCAGTGTTTCCTCACCAGCAACTGCTGCTCTGGCCAGAGGGGTGACCTGAGGTAGGGCAGGGCAGGGTAAAGGTACAGTTTCCCTTGAATAACTCAGGACCATCTTCTCCTGCTCCCTCCTCTCCATTCTCTCTCTCTCTCTCTCTCTCTTTTTTAAGATTTTATTTATTTGACAGAAAGAGAGACAGCGAGAGCAGGAACACAAGCAGGGGGAGTGGGAGAGGGAGAAGCAGGCTTCTCACTGAGCAGGGAGCCCATTGCGGGGCTTGATCCCAGGACCCTGAGATCATGACCTGAGCCGAAGGCAGATGCTTAATGACTGAGTTACCCAGGTGCCCCTCCATTCTCTTCTCTTGAGTCCTTGTTGCAGAGACGTCATGTGTTACCCAGTATATCAGTGAAGATGCTTTTGGCTCTAAGTAACAGGGATGTCTGCTCACAGTGGCTTACAAATAAGAGGACTGATTATTTCACACAGCAAAACTTCCAGAGGTTGGGCATTTCCATGATCCTTTAACTTAATTGCCTGACAACACCGTGAAGGACCTGGGTCTCCATTTTCTTCTCTGTCATCCCAGGGTAATGGCTTTTGTCCCCAGGCTCATGCTCATAAGGTGGCCATGCAAGGAACTCTGGCCATCCCATCTTCATTCAGCAACACCTAGAGCCTGGAGGAGAGAATCCCCTTCTGTGTGTCTCCTATTAAAACAAGGAGGACTTGTTTTACAGAAGCCCTGTAGGAGACTTCCGGTATATCTAATAGGGCAGGATTGGCTCACATGAACCTACTTAAAGCAATCCCTTAGAGAAGAGTGGGAACTCCATGACTCTCTTGGTCAAATCAAGACCCACCTCTTGCGGCTGGGAAGAACATAATCTGCATGAACATGTCATCTTGAGGAAGAAGAAAGTCTGAGTCATGTCAATACAGAAGTGGGAGGATGGAGCAAGGTAGGTGACCAGCAGGGCCCATGGTGTCCAATCAAGAAGATGGTTTGGGCAAAAAGCCAGAAGGCTGAACTTATATGGAATATTGTAAAGGCTCAGTCTTGTTCATACCTTCAGCTTGATTCAGTTTCCTCCCTGAGGGCCCCTGACAGGTTTGTCATCCCCCTCCCCCCATCATGTCTCACTGGGTGGTGGGCTCCCCCTTGTGGCCTGAAGTTCTTCTTGATGGGCCAGTGGGCATCTGCCTTCATTCATGGGTTGGCAATGCCCTTGCATTTACCTGAACCTCAGTTTCGTGGTTCTGTTAGCTTCAGGATTTCCAGGACCCCTTTATCAACACCCCCACTCATGCACTGTCCTCTTGGCACCTCCCCCCTCCCTTTCAAACCTTCTCTGCTGGGTTAGCATCAGCCAGCTAGTGTCCACTCCACTCCTACACCTTGTACTCTTTTTTCTGAGATCCCTGATTTCATCAATCTCTTCCTTGAATCATTGCCTTTTGTTCAGCTCATACTTTCCGCTCCCCTCTGCACCCACTTGTTCTTTCTCCACAATGAGCATTCTCAGAACTCTTCTTCACTTCGCTTCTCTGAGTCTCTGTGTACTCAGTCGTAAGATGGGAATCCATTACATCTGGCATTACATATGGGGAGGAAAGGAGTTGGGTGAGAAGCAAATGCAACTGTGTTGTGAGTGGTGGGATTCATGAACTCTGACATCTTGTGGACGTGTTGCATGGTGGGGTGACTAGTTTTCTTCCCTGTGTTTTCTGCACCTTGGAAAGAAGGGTATTAATCACCTTGCAGGCCATTCCCCAATAAGCTCCCTACAGATTCCTGTTGACTTTGGGAAGCATGGATAATGTGGGGACTTCTCCCATCCTACCCTAGGACCACAGAAGACTTGCGGGTTAGATCCTCAGGTTTCTGAACTACTTGAGCTCTGAAGTAGTTAGGGGAGAACCTGTCATGTCTTAAGTGCAAATTAATTGCAAGTGTCTGCTCCTTGGGCTTCTGTTTCTTCCTGGGTCCACTGAAGAGTTAAGATGGACAATCACCGGACCATTTGTTTCTGGTTCTACATCGTGGTGTTCCTGGTGGGGTGCTGAATGTCATCCCTACCCCTCTCTAGCCTCTGCCTAGGCATGTGTATTTGGAATAGCTGTGGATATGTTACCAAAACAAATTTTAGTCCCACATTAATCCTAGTTTTGTTTTTTGTTTTTTAACATCCACTGAGCTGTGTCACTCTTGCAAATCCTCTCCTAAGTTTGAACAGCTTAATGTAGACATACTGTTCTTTTTCCCTCAGGAAAAAACACAGGGGCACAAATCACTCTTTTAGAAATTAGATCAAAGGACTAAAAATAGAATTGTCTCCTCTCTATGCATATTTGCTCACCAAAGAGGTGACCTAGGGTCCCCATTTCAGGCAGATTTTAATTGAGCGGCTCCTTAAGATAAAAACCCAAAGTTCCTCTTTTGACTACCATGTGTCAAGCTGTCCTCACAATTTTGAGCATCTCAATATTTAATAAAACTATTCTCTCTTGAGCAGGGAGAGCAGAAATGAAAATTTTGCAGCCTGGTGTGTGTGTTTCTCGAAGATGGATGTGAAAGTTTGAGGGAGACAGATACTGTGAATCCATATCATTTCATTACCCGAACCTGAAATAATCACATTCTTCCTACCTCGCAAAGTGGGCTGGCCAATTAATATTGTTTTTGTCGTTAATGTTCACAAAGCCTCCAGAGCTCCTTGGAAGAAAGATGCAGCTTGACTGTAAAAAATGGAAGAAATAGTTCTGAGCTGCCTTCAGATCCTCTCTTGGGAAGAAAATTGCTGTATAATTCACTTGGGGGCTTTTCACTGCTCATTAAGCCTTTACTGATGATAAGATAATATCTTGTTTCATTGCAGTCGGCTTGGTATTTGAGAGTCAGCCTGATTCCTGTGGGAAACCCAGGTACATTAGTTAGCTGCCACTTTTTTTTTTTTTTTCTTCTTCTCACCCAAAGAGATTTTCTTTTCTTTTAGGCCGGATGTCTGCAAGTTGAAGTTTGAAGGGAAGACATTTTATGTGATTGGCACTCAGAAGGAGGTCAGTGACTGCTTTTCTAGCCTGTAGTTATGTGTGTGTGTGTGTGTGTGTGTGCAAACAAGAGGGACGCAAGCATAAAACATGCCTTTAGTATTGTAGCCCCAGAATACCACCACTTTGAAGCTTACAGTGATAATGGAAGCTGTATGCTAAACATTTTAGAGGTAAATAAATAGTGGGTTTGCACATTTAAGAACAAAGTCAGTGAAATGAGTCGGTCAGAAAAAGACAAATAAGATTTCACTCATGTGGAATTAAACAAAACAGATGAACACAGGGGAAAGGAAGGAAAAATAAAATAAGATAAAAACAGAGAGCGAGGCAAACCATGAGAGAGTCTTAACTATAGGGAACAAACAGGGTTGCTGGAGGGGAGATCGGTCAGGGGATGGGGAAACTGGGTGATAGGCATTAAGGAGGCACGTGATATAATGAGCACTGGGTGTTAACTGCAACTGATGAATCAGTGAATTCTACCCCTGAAACTAATAGTACACTACATGTTAACTAAATTGAATTTAAATAAAAAATTTTTTTAAAAAGAACAAAGTCAGTGAGCAACGCTTGACCATACACTACTGTGTAAAAAATAGACTGGGATAGAAAATGGAACCTTCTCTTGAAACTAACACTGTGTGTTAACCAACTGGAATTTGAATTAAAAAAAGGAAAATGGAACCTCCTTCTACCTCTGTAATCTGCCAAAATATAGATTTATGAAACAAGTGAAGAATACTTCCAAAGCTAGATATTCAACCACTGCTGGTGCGTTTTATGAATAGAGTCTGTACATGCCAGGAGTCTTAATGAAGCTACCGGATGCAGGTTGGGTTCATCAGGGAATGCATCTGAGAGGAGGCCGTCATGGAAGCTTTGAGCCTTAGGCCTAGGTCTGGAGGTTTGCAGATTTTCTTGACTAGTTTTTAGATCAAGCACCGGTTATTCAGCGGTGGCAAAGTTTTTAAAGGACTACAAGTCTGATTGAGAGGAGGGTGATTCCTGGGTTGTTGAGAAGGATTGACTGTGAGGATGTTTTTTGTTAGAAACAGGGCCCAGTTAGATTCAAGATGTCTGCAAAGGGTGAGGGAGGTGGGACACCATTTCAACAGCACTTTTAAGACCAGGGTAATGCCTAAGTTACTTTTAGTCTGTTTGGCAGGTGTCGGGGGGGGGGGGGGCGGGGAGCTACAAATTGGTAAATACCTGAAAAAGATAAATTCTGTTTCACATGCCCTTTCTTATTTTGTCTTTTTTATTAGAAAAAAGCCGTGTTGGCATTCCATACTTCGACACCAGCTGCCTGCAAACATCTTTGGAAGTGTGGGGTGGAGAACCAGGCCTTTTATAAGTACGTAGCTTTTATTCATTTAATCATAGGTTGTAAAAGCATCCATGGAACCACTCATGTTTTGCAAATAGCTGCATATTCATTTCTTTTAATTCAGTTCTTTTCATTATATTTAAGGGAATTGTAAATTCAGTGTGTTGTGCAGGGCGACTCCCAACCAAGCCTGAGCTCCTCATTGGGTGATACTCATAGAATTGCAATGGGTGCTTTTTTTTTTTTTGCGTTGATAGTTCCATTCAAAATGTCACAGAATCTGTTTTTGGTTGGGTGCCCCGCTCAGAAGCAGACCTTGAGAAGAGTTGAGTGCTAGTAGTTTCTTTGGGATGTGATTTCTGGACCTACCGGTAGGAGGGGTAGGCAAGGGAGGTGGGGCAGCAAGCAATATAGGGCATGTTATCCATCAGGTCACTCCTGAGGGCAGCTGTGCTCAGCTCTGCTGGGGAATTCTGTCAGGCTATAGAACTTGCCTCAGAATTCTCCCACTGACAAGCAAAGGGCCCCGGCTGTTTGTTTACCAATTCCCCATTCATTTTGGTTGATGGCCACTTCAGAAGGCAGAGTTAATACTCTCTGGCTTACTCTGAGTGTGGGCTGACTCTGCTCTCACAACCAGAGAAAGCAAGCTTTGGCAGAGAGTCACAGGTGTTTGTAGTAAGAAGCCTTCTGTACACAGAGATGGGAGCCAACAGCTTGTGGGTGGAATGCGGTCAGAGGCTATGATGTGAAAAGTCAGTACTGTATAGGACTTCAGAAACCATCCACAAAGCTCTCAGGTTTCAAGAGAGCTTCAAATTTAGGATCTTCCCACTGAGTTCCAGCTTCTCCTCTTTGAGACACACTTGTTGAGTGGAAGAGCAGTGGTGAGGGACATAGTCAGGAGCCCAAGCCAGTCCTGCCGAGGGTACCAGCTGGCCCCTGGAGTTCATCCACGTGGCCTTTGCTCTGTCTTCCCTCACACTAAATTCGGCCATGCTCATTAGACTCTTGTCTCTGAAAATGCTGAGTCTCTGAACCTCCTGGGCTTTAGCTGACAAGGATCAGGAGAGTGGATCAGGCTCGGACAATCTTTTTCAAATCCCTTTTTTATTCACAAAACTCTTTTCCTCAAATAGAAGTGTAGGCAAAGCCTAGTAGGTAAAGAGAGAAAAATAGAGGAGCTGTGGTTGTTGGTGATGATCAGAGTTGGGACTGGGGACTCGAGACCCTTCACCTGTTGCTCGCTGCTTCTCAGGAGCTTGGGTGACCAGTTGTCTGCATTTGCCGGGCCTTCTTCAGGTTTAGCATTGAGAGTCTTGTGTCCTGGGAGAACACTCTGTCACGGGCAGATCCCATCAGGAGTATAGTTTGAAAGCCCTTGGATGAGATGACCTCCAAAATGCTGTGAGTGAAGATATGTATCAAAAGACCTTCCCACAACCAACTTCACTTCAAGACATCAGTGGGTCCCATCGGATATTTGGGAACTGGTATATAAGGGCACCTGACTGCCTCTGAAATCATGTCCAGGCCTGTCCATTGCCCATGGGAGCTGAGAGAGGGAGATGCAGAGGGTTTGATGCTCTGCCTCTAGTTGAGGCCTGCATGTATTTTGCTGTTGTTTTTAATTATTTGAAAAATTGAGATCATATACCATAAAAATCACCCCTTTAACATATACGTTCAGCAGTTTTTAGTATGTTTTTCTATGTTTATGGATTCACCCGTTCTGGACATTTTATATAAACAGAAACATAAACTATGTGGTCTTCTGTGCCTGGCTTCTTTCACTTAAGGTCATGTTTTCAAGGTTTATCATGTGGTAGCAGCATCAGTACTTTGTTTCTTTCCATGACTGAATTATGATCCAGTGTTTGGATAGACCACATTTTGTTTATCCATTCATCAGTCGATGGATATTTGGATTGTTCCCTCTTTTTAGCTATTATGAATAATGCTGCTATGAATATTCATATAAAAGTTTTTCTGTGGACAGTTCTGTTAGGTTTATACCTAGGAGTGGAGTTTTGGGTCATTGGGTAACTCTATACTTAATTTTTTGAGAAACTGACAAACTATTTTTGGAGCCTAAGCTTTTGGAAGTCTTCTGTTCCTCCTTTAATGAAATCATCTGGTTCTTGTCAAGGGATCATTTAGAGACATTAATTAGTCATTTTGAATGAGTGTTTTCTCACAAATGAGGGAGCTGGTAGATGGAGTTTTGAAACAAAGCAAAACAGGATAGATCATGACCTATTTTATTGTAGGTTTTTGTGTACATATCTATACTAGATCAGATCTCTCTGAAGGTAGGAACTAAGTTCTATTTATCTTTTTATTTGCCAAAGACCCCAGGCATTCAAAAAATATTTCCTGGATCAATTGATAAGGCACAGTTCCTATCCTCAAGAGATTTGTATTTCATGGTAGACACCAAAAGGGAAGTACAAATAAAATGCTGGAGGGCACCCCAGAGGAGGGGTGAGTCTTGTTGTTGGGGGAGCCAGGAGGTAGAAGTCCCCTTCAGATGGAGGAAGGACATTCTGGGTAAGAGACCAACGCAGGAAAGTGGAAGATGTTGGGGAAGATGAGCAGCCACACAAGGCTGGAGTAGAGGGTACATGGAGTAGACAGGGAGGAGAGGAGGGGCCAGGAGCTCTTGGGGCCAGACAGAGGGCTCAGCCATCATGAAACAGGGTAGAGAAGCGAAAGGTGTGGTTGATGCTGCTGACCACAGATGGTGGAAGGGGCGGGAGTAGGAGAGGAGAACACCCAGTGGATAGACCTTTTGGAGGCTTCTCAGTCAGCTCTTCTTGGGAGGAGTTTAGCATGGCTTTGAAGATCCTTTAGGTGAACTCATAGGATCTCCATCAAAGAATAACTTAGGACATTAATTCATTCTTTTGCACACACATTGTTTTAGCATGTGTGAGGGAGTCAGTTGATTGCTAGAGTCAAAGACAAAAGCAGAATTGAAAGGAGGGGGAAGCAGGAGAAAAACCTCTGAACCGGGGAACTCATTTTGCATATTTTAGGGTATGCACCTTAGCTGGCAGCTAGTAAAGAGGTCAGTGTGATAGTCCTGTCATAAGATGGGCCAAGTAGGCATATCAGAGGAATCCTTCCCAGTCTTCTGTGGATGCTTCCGAAGACCAGGAGGGTTTAGTGGTCAGCACCTGTGGCACTGAACAGATCTTCCTTGACTTCCTTGACTTACGATGGGGTTACACCCTGATAAACCCATCCTAAGTTAAACGTACTGTAAATCGAACCATCATATATTGGGGACCTTCTGTACAGAGGTGACCGAGTCCTTGCACCCCTGCTTTGGTCAGGTCAGGCTACCCCGTCTCTCTCATGAAGACCCCTAATCCCTAATATTTATACTGATCTGAGTTTTCTTGGACCCTTTTGTTCCTTCATTGATCTGATAACCATCCCTGTTACTTACGGAGAAGGAAAGATACCACCTGTTCTGACCAGGCTGTGTGACCTCGGACAAGTCTGGCCTCAGCCTTCTCATCTACAGAACGGAGGGGACAGGGCCTTGGCCGTGGTTTGTTTGCCTCACTGTGTCCTCGTGTTCACGAGCATGGACCTTGGAGGTGAAAGGCTTGGCTTTGAGTCTTGACTCTGTCACTTCCTAGCGGTGTGGCCTGGAACAAAGCACTTGAACTCTGAGCCCCAACTTTGTTTTTCATCCGTAAAATGTAATACCTGCTTGGGGAGTGCTTAGTTGTGCCGCAGTGACCATGACTACCCCCTCCTCCACTAATGACAAAAGGTTTTTGAGCGCCTGTGGGTCGCAGAGCCCCGTCCCTTTGACTCTGAAGGGTTCTGATTCTGTTAAGCTCAGGGGTGGGTGCTGTCCCACTGGGTGCTGCGTCGTAATGGTTTCGGCTGGCAGAGCAAGGTCCTGATTTTGTTTCCTGACTTGGGAGTGGTTTGCTCCTTTTTCTACTTCACCTGCCATGGGAACAGGGAGGCCTGGTGGCCGATGCCTAGGAATTCCCTAGTGTGCTTTTAAGACATGAATGTGCAGTTGGGCGTCCACTGGCCCAGGACCACGATCAGGTTTGAAAGCCTTTGTTCTGAGATCTGCTGCCTGGGAATGGAGCCCAGTGCAGAAACTCTGATTTTCCCTCCTGCTCCAAACCCCAGGGGATCCCCGACACAGACAGTCACCATTTCAGAGTTTCCCTTATGCCATGTGGTTTCTAGGCGCCGCCACCCCCCAGAGTACAGGTTCCCTGTACTGGAAGCACATGGAGTCACTGAAGAGTTCAGTGGCTTGGGGAGTTTCCATTCAATGAGTCTGTCACACCTGCTTTATGCTATGCACTGTGCTGGGCACTGGGGACACCATAGAGGCTCAAATGATGCTCTTTGTCCCCGACTTTGGAATTGTTTGCAGGGCACAAAGGCAGTCTCTAAGAAATGTCTTACCCAGAGTCTGGTATGCGTTTTGTCAGAGGAACAGCTTTATATTCAGTAGATAAGGACGCTGAGAGCTCCCTACATGAGAGCCTCGCACACCTCAGTGAGCACGTGAATGACCCGGAGATCCTGCAAGAATGTGGAGTGTGATTCAGGAGATTGGGATGGGGCATCAGAGTCCATATTTCCTTTTTTTTTTTTTTTTTTTTAAGATTTATTTATTTGAGAGAGCGAGAGCATGTGAGCAGGGGTTGGAGTAGAGGGAGAGGGAGAACATCTCAAGCAGACTCCCTGTTGAGTGCGATGTGGGGTTCGACCGCACGACCCCAGGATCATGATCTGAGCTGAAATCAAGAGCCTGATGCTTAACTGACTGAGCCACCCAGGCACCCCCCAGAGTCCATATTTCTAATAAGATCCCTGGTGAGGCTGTGCTGCAGGCCCATGGTCCACACTTTGAGTACCAAGGTTCCAAACCAGTGGTTCTCAGCACTGACTGCACATTAGAACCACCTGGGAGAGCTTTTCAAAAAATAACAAGCTGTGGACATTATGCTAAGTAGAAAGAAGCCAGACATAAAAGACCACATATTGTATGATTCTATTTGTATGAAATGTTGAGAATAGAGAAATCTAGAGAGACAGAGAATAGATTTGTGCTTGTCTAGGATTAGGAGTGGAGGAGATGAGGGGGATAATGGGAGGTTGGTTCTTCCCGGGTGATGAAAATGTTTTCTCATTTTTAAATAAAATTTTGTAAATTAAGACCACTGAAGTGTGTAGTCTAAAGGGTGAACTTTATGGTATGTGGATTATATCTCAATAACTTTGTCATTAAAAAAAATCAGAATCTGGGATGACGGAGCTAGATATTGGTAGAAATAAATCTTTCCCAGGTGGTGCTCACATGCAGGCTAAGGTTAAATGCTTTAATCCAGTGATTCTCAAAGTAGGGTGCTTTGACCAGCGTCAGCATCTCCTGGGAACTTGCTGGAAATGAAGATTCTTGGGTTCCACCCCAGACTTACTGAAGCAGAAACTTGTGTTTTGAAATGTGCTGGGTGAATCTGATGTTCTTTGAAGTCTGAGAAGCTGCATAGCTAATGCATTATTTTAAAAATACAGGCCTGGATTTGCAGCCCAGTTGCCCCAGTTCTATCCTGTTACCATGATTCAGTGACTTAACCCCTCTGTGCCTCAGTTTCCTCACGTAAAAAGGTGGATTGCTTCCTCCTAGGAGAGAGCTGTGAGGATAAAATGAATTAATGTGTTTGAGATGCTTTGGATGGTACATGGCCCATCAGATATTCGAGAAGAGTTCGAGAAGAGTCTTCTGTAGCTTCCATGCGGGGATTTTGATGGGGAATTGGAGGTGGCAGTGGGGAGAGGGCAGGTGGGGAAGAAGGCTGGGGGGGAGAGGTTTGCTGTTCAGCTAGGTGGTGCATTTGTTGCCTGCATTGGGCAGATGTTTGCTCCAGGCTCATTGTTGGTGTGAGAGCCTGGGGAACTGAGCACTGGAGCATGTCAGCTAGTTAGAGCAAACAGGTCCTCTCACTGGCTGTCAGAGGGTCTGAAATCATTCCCCCAGAATCTCCATGACCCAGAGGCCTGGCTTTGGTGGCTCAAGAGTGAGAAGTCAGTGGAGAGGTTTTGAGAGTGATATTAGGGAGGGTGGGAAACTTATATAATGAACAGGTGCTTTCAGATAACTTGATCTCATTGAACGCTCCTCAGAACACTATGAATTAATATTGTAATACCCTCCCCCACTTAAAAAACTCATGGAGAAAGGAACGCTGGGAAAAGCTACATGACTTGACCAAGGTTGCAGGACCAAGAGCAGGTAGGAGCCTTGGGCCTCTGCTCTTCCAGGTAAAACACCACCTCTTGGGTCATTCTAGAAGAATTTGGGGACTCAGAGGTTCTCAGGGGCAAGTGGGCTGCCTTGGAATGACGTTGGGGTGTTTGATAAAAACACCAACTCCTGGATCCCCGGCAGACATGCTGGATGAAAATCTCTAGTGACGGAGCCTGGGCACTGGTGTTTTAACCCCTATTCCAGATGCTGCTGGCAAATGGCCAGGTTTGGGAACAACTGAAGGTGTGTCTTATCACCTGGCCACCTTCCTTTTCCCCTCACCATCTCCCGCCATCCTCTTGTGCTTCCCATTTCCCAGGGTTGTTCAAGCTCTCTGAATAAACTTCCCGGTGAAAAGTCCAATAAAGCTCTCAGCCCAAACACGATGGGGCATCTACCTGCACATTTGGAAGGGTGGGGAACTGGTGGTCATGCGCTCGGGAGAGTGTCTCTGAGCGAACGACATGACACGAATGTTCATCGTGGGCAATCAGCTGCCAGAAAGAAGGCAACGCTCTTTCCACTCCTCCCATCCTGAGCAGGCAGGCTCTTCACTTTCTCTGCGAAATGTGTCTTCTGAGGGTTTGGGTGGCGGCAACGCGGCCCTGAGGCCTCCCACCAAGAGGCGGCTCCAGTGTAAGAGCCAGTGGCCCCCTCTGGGGGCCTGGAGAGCAGAGCTGCGGCTCAACCAGTGGAAAGCAGAGCTGCCTCCTCTCCCCACAAGAGGCTCCCTGCACCAGCTGGGCTTGCCACACCTCTTTGGGTTTCTGGTATCTTCTATAACCTGGGCACAGAGTTGCATTTGAAAACCCCAATTAAGGCTCTTTTTCCTTTTTCATTAATCAGTGTTTTTATTGAGGTATAGTTGGTACAATATTACATTACTTTCATGGGTTAAAAACTGCAATTAAGGCTCTTTATCTTCTTAGCAGACTACTTTGCCCTAAGGATCGTTAGAACCTAGAACAGTAATAACCAACATTTTAAAGACAGAAGCTTTTTTTTTTTTTTTTTAAGATTTTATTTATTTATTTGGCAGAGAGAGCGCTCACATGCGTGTACAAGCAGGGGCAGAGGGAGAGGGAGAAGCAGGCTCCCCATGGAGCAGGGAGCAGGGAGCCCTACGCGGGGCTCGATCCCACGACCCTGGGACCATGACCCAAGCCGAAGGCAGACACTCGCCCAGGTGTCCATAAAGACAGAAGCTTCTTTAAAGGTTTCTGTGCCTCCTACCTCTGAGGCCTGGGAGCAACAGCCCTGCCAAAAGGTGGGGAGTTGATGAAGACCGCCCTTTTCTCAGGCTTCTGTAGATAACGTGTCAGGCTCACAGCTCCCTGGGTGTGTGTGGGGGGCGGGGGGGAAAGGGCAGGTACGCTGGGAGCAGGCGTGTCCTCGCTGGAGGAGGAGGGCACCGTGGGACTCCTGTCCCATGTTGGCACAGCTTGCTGGGGATTTTTATCCTCTTGACTGCATGTGATCTGTAGCCTAGCTCTGGCCAGCAGCCCGCACTGCCCGTCCCTGGGGGCAGGAGCCTCCCGGGCGTGGATCTCATATGCTCCCACCCGTCCTTAAGGGCTCCCACGCCACCTTCTCCAGGCCCTGCCTTGAAATGGAATCCCTCCACTCCCCAGGCCTGGACCCCCTCCCCTCCTGTCTCATTCTGCCTGCTCCTCATTTGTCCCCAGTGCCCTTCTCTGTTGGCTCAGGCCATTTGCAGAAGTGGAAAGGGAGAAGGGGCTTCTTTGCAAAAGAGTGTGCCTCTGGCTTTTCATGGTTCTGAGGACAAAGGCCAAAATCCTTAACTAGGACAGCTTAAGGTCAGGTCGTGCTAAATTAGGGGGAAAAATGTATGTGTGTGGGCTTGTAATTACAATAATAATAACATGGGGAAATGCACATCAGATCTTTTTAGTTCCTCCAGTGCTCAAGCTCTCCAGGCTTTATGCCTGCTGAGCCTTCCGCCCAGAACACTGCCCACCAGCTGCCCGGTTAACACCTTCCTTTCCCTGGATCTCAGACCCATGGCCCCCAGGCTGGATTGGTCTCCCCCTCCCATACTCTCATTGCATCTTTTCCTTCATGGCCCCCACCACAATTTATAGTTATTCACTTATGTGTCCGGTTTTTAGATTAATATCCATTTCCCTTCTAGACCTTACACTCCATGAATGCAGAGGCTGTGTGTCTTCCCTGAACCTGGGGTGGGAGGTGGGGGGTGGGGGGAGGGTGTGGACCAGGCTCGGCATTTGGTTAACAATTGCTTGAACAAAGGAACCAAGGCTTCCGAGATGCCTGGCGTTGGGGATAGCTGCCTGCACAGAAACTTCTAACCCCAGAGCCCTGGCTATATGCTCGTCTTCACTCAGAATTCTATACAGCATATTGTTCTGTGTGGTTTTTCTATTAAGATTTTGGGACTCTCAATATTTTAAATGGTCCTGAACTCTTGGAGGCCATTCTTTCGAACCTGGGTTTAGTTGCACGAGGCTTAAAGTGATTGCCGAGAGACATCCTCAGCTGTCACAGCAATTTAGTGCCCTGTGTGTGGCCTGCACAGAGCCCACATTTTCGTTGTTTTCCAGAGTGCTGTGGTTTTGTTCGTGGTTATAGGTGTGCTTAGAGCTGCTGAATCAGTGTTTGGCCGGGCTTCTTGTTCCGCGTGTGTCTTAGTCAGCTCCCAGCCCGGGTTCCTTTAAAGGGCACTGGGTCATGGTGACCTCGCTGGAGAGTACTCAAGCCAGTGACCATGTCCCTGGTGACATGAGCCCCGTGGTCTCTTTCGGGCAGTACACAGTAGGTGGCTTCTTTGTGACCCGGTGAGTGACCTGTGTCACCGGGAAGCTGTCTTCTGCAGTGTTGTTTCAGGCACAGGTGCGAAAGTGTGTCGTCGTCCCGTCCCCCCCCCCCCACCCCCCCCCCCCCGTGACCTGGAACTTGACACCATGTGACACAATCCATCTTCTCTGTATCTTTCAAGTGGAAATTGGGAAAGAATCCTTTTGATCATCACTGTTGCCTGCAGGTCATCATCCCGTAATGGATTCTGAAACGAAATGTGTGGGCCGTCACCAGCATTTAGAAAGAACAGAAAGGGGCGCCTGGCTGGCTCAGTTGGTAGAGCACGTGACTCTTGAGCTCAAGGTCTTGAGTTTAAGCCCCACGCTGTGCATGGAGCCCACTTTAAAAAAAAGAAAGAAAGAAAAGAGATAGCAGGTTGTAATACACATAGCGAAAGTAACTATTTTTTGGTGAAAGTTCTTCAGGTGTGTGTGCACGCATGCAATCCTCCAATAGCATATATTTCTTATAGTCAAAAATATCCAGTCCTCACGCTTTATAGCATGTCTCACTTGGACTTGACAATCTAACTACCACCTCTGTTTTGCTGCTTCTTCAAGGTATGCGAAATCCAGTCAGATCAAGACCGTGTCGAGCAGCAAGATATTTTTTAAAGGAAGTAGATTTCGATATAGGTGGGTACCTGTGGTTCCATTTTGATGGTGGGTTAGGGTGGGGGCACTCATTTACTTTTTGAATATCCTGCTTATAAATCAGTGCGCTTTGGCTTGTACGCCTGTTTTGGTCCTCCCTTTCCAGTCCGCTCACGTCTGACCCTCATGGGCCCCCCTCAGATTCCATAGTAACTTCTCGGATGGAGGAAGAGAAGGCGTGGATTTCTAGAGTGGATCAGACCACTGTGAAGTTAAAAAAAACAATACACGAGCACACCCCTCCCCTTCTGTTGTGAGTGTGTGTGCACAGATGTTGTGTTTCTCTTTTGCAGTGGTAAAGTTGCCAAAGAGGTGGTAGAGGCTAGCTCCAAAATCCAGCGGGAGCCTCCGGAAGTGCACAGGTAAGGGGGTGGTCTGTGGGGCTCTGGGAGGCTTCAGGCATGGACAGAAGGTTTTCAGGCTTGCTCTGCCACATTCTCTGTAACAGGAGCGGGTGTAAGGGCACCACATGCCTGTCCTTCTGTCAGCGTGGGCACATCTGTCTCCAGGCACGGCGCTTTCGCTGTTCTGGAAGCTTCCCAGGGACAGACTTGACAGGGCCGTGGCGTGAGTGCGGCCTGACTGCATTTTGAGTTGCTTGCTCTGTGGGGAGTCATTGGCTTGATTGGGCCCGGAGTGTCACATGCACAGTGTGTGTGAGGCACGGCGGTGTCATCTCTTGGCCGAGTCTGTCGTCTGCCTTCTTAGAACTGCTCTCTGTTCATCAGATGTGGCTGGTACCCATTGGCCTGACTTCTGTTAGACTGTTTCACAGGAGGAAGGCAGGCGGTGCTCATCTCTCTCGGGGCTCCTCACTCCCAAAGGTCACTCAGAGGAATGAGGAACTTAGTCATTAGTGGTTCGAGAGTACGCATCTTCATAATGTGGCAGCATATGCCGTTCTGAGAATGAGATATTCTCTTGGTCACGTTGGACTTTCTATCACCATGAGACACACAGATCATTGCACACCCTAAACCTCAAACATGCTAACTATCTAAAGCTGAACATTGTCATGACGTTCTCCTTTTTGAAGGCAAGGTCATCCTAAGTTATGTTTTTTTAGGAGGTTCTCACACACTGGTTGGCACCTGTTCCTTCCCCTTCTGTGGACTTGGAGGAATCTCCCTTATGCTCATATTTGCCCAGTCTCCTCTGTTTCCAGCATGACCCCGTGAGCTGGGTGCCTCTTACCTTATTCCCTGGGTTGTTGGGTCTCTTGAAAGAGTGGCTGAGCCAGCCTGGCCCAGCATCCAGACAGCACTTCTCTCCCACACAGGGGAGCAAGACTATAGTTGGCACAGGATCCCATGCAGATGTGTACAGAGAACAATTCTTTCCTGGTTTGGGTGACCCAGTGAGAAGCTGTCACGTGCACGTCTGCAGACGTGGTCTTTCCTGCTTCTCGAAGCAGGAGAAAGCTGTAGGCCTAGGGAAGCTGGAGCACTGTGGCAGAACCGTGAAAGTCTTATAACCTACCTCTTGATAACACTAGTCTTTTATTTGTATGTACTTATTTTTAAAATAGTCTTTACAGTCCCTCTTCTACCACAAATTGTGGTTACTCGGTGTGGCAGAAATGAAAAGAGGAAATGATAAAATGTATCATTTGAACTTTCCTAGACTCTGGGCCAGAAATGACCTTAAGGATCACCTAATTTGATGCTTCTATTTTATAGACAAGGGAACGTGGGTCTCAGAGAAGTTAAAAGATTTATCTGAAGTCATAATTTTTTTTTCTTGTGGCAGACCTAAGCCTGTGTTCTTTTCTTTGTAGCCTTTGCCACCCAGAAACCCTCTGGCATTCTCTTAGAGCTGGGAGGCAGAACCACCCCAAGGGATCTGCTTGGGTTTTAGTCTTCTAACATGAAGTGTGAGTGTTTGATCTTAAAAAAAAAAAAAAAGAAAGAAATACTTGATGCTGGGGAGTTCTCTTGACAGCACAAACACAAAGAAGGAAACTTTTTAACAAAATGCTTTCAGAGACTTATATTCCCAATACGTAAGACTTTCCAAGAATCCCATAGTTATCATATATAGATGGTTAGATCAGAAATAATTGGAAAAAGCATTTCTTTTTTCAATTGAGGTTTGCTTAATTTATGGGAATCAAGGATTCCTAGATCAGGGCTTCCCAAACTTTAACTTGGACAGGGATCACCTACGGATCTTGTTAAAATCAGATTCTGATTCATGAATCTGGCATTTCTAATGAGCTCCTAGGTGGTGGCCATGTGGCGGGTTCATGGACCACACTTTGAGTAGCCAGGCTGTGGGAGTGAGGGGAGCAGAGTGGCCATAGTGAGAATCTTTTCCCGAATGGACCGAACCACCAGAGGGGATGGGAAATGAGGCTTCAGTCCATTTATAGTTTCCTTTTTCTGGAACCTTCTAAAATCCCCCAGGGATGTAACTGCACACAAGGACCTATAGACCCTTGAGACACTGGTTCACATGCTATTTCTTCCCCTTCCACTGACCTTTTTTATGTGTATATGAAAGCCTATTGAGTCCACATGCTCAGGACACCTCTCTGGTCCTCAGCTTTTTGGCAGTATCTCTCAAATCTCTGACAATATAAGGAAGATTTGTTTAAAGTAATGATGCAAAGCAAGCTGTGGGAGGAAAAGGCTTGTGTCTGTTTAGTCATCTGCGTATCACTCAACACCTAACCCAGCACTTAGCACATAGTAGAGGTCAGTACATAGTTGTTGAATGAACCTATGAACCAGGGGTGTGGGGTGACAGCCGCAGGCCTGCAATTTTCTGAGACCTGAGATCTGTCCAAGGTGCTGCCCTGGGGACCTTGACCTCCCAGGAGGCAAGAGTGCTTCCAGAGCCATGGAGACGTACCCCTTGCAGTCGCAAATTCTCATTTCTTTCCAGTGGGCACTTGCATGGTAGGACATTTTTTCTCTTAGGCAATTATTTTTTAATTATTTTGGCTTCTTTGATGTGGCTGTCAAAAGTGAGAATATAGTAATGAACTCTCCCTCTGGCTGTGTTTAGAGATGAGCACTCTAAGGCTTCACTTAGTTGTCTTTCCTCACACTTGAGAGTGTACTCTTCAAAGAATGGCAAGTTCATGGACTACTGCTTTTGCTGAGGTGTGTGTGTTTAGAAAGAGACAACACAGACAGATTGAGGACACTGTCTTGGGATTTTTCTTTTTTTTCAAAAAGAGAAAAAGCTAACTCTCATGATAGCTCACTGATCTTTACTGATGACAAGATCCCCAAGCAAATCCCTCCTGGCCTGGGAATCGCCCACCCATGCCAGGGGCCCAGCGAAGCAAAAGGCTGCAGCTTGGTGAGCCTAGGGCTGGCTGTGTGAGCCACCTGGGCTCAGCAGCCACCACCGGGGGACACCCAGAGGCAGCATTTGGACCTAAAACGAGCACCAATTGAGGGGCCATGAACTTGGTTGTGTTGCTTACAAGCTGTGTGGTCTTGGGCAAGTCTCTTAACTTCTCTGATCATCAGTTTACTCATCTATAAAATGAGATTCAGAATATTACTTTGCCCAACTTCTAGACTTTGTTATGGGCATAAAAATAAAGTGCTTTAAAAATTAGAAAGTGCCATGCAAATGTGAGGTGATGATATTCTTCCTGTCTCTCATCCAAAAATGGGAAGCTAGAATTTAACAGATCTGTCCTCATTAAAGCTTCTTCAGATGGAGTTTTGATGACAGGCCAACAGCACTTGCTTCACTGCAAGGACTGGTGCAGAATTCCACGAGCCTTGTGTTAGTTGCTCTATATTATGCCATCAGTTTTTGAAGCCAATCTTAGAATGTCCTTGCAGTTTCCAAAGAAAACCTTTTTACCTCAGTAGAATTCCCAGTGACTGTTTCATTGGGAAACTGCTCTGTGCTGAGTACAAAACGGGTCAGGCATTTTGCAGAATCCGTTGATGGGTGGATTCTGAGAATGGGAAACATGGCACAGACCCTTGCCTGGCTTGGGGAGACTCCAGCCAGAGAAGCTGTTACATCAGGAGCTCAGGTGGAAGGGCAGGGTGGGAGCTGTCTGGGATGTTGGCACGTCTTCTAGAAGACCACCTGACACGGTGGACCCTCATTTAGCCAGAGAGCAGGACATTAGCAGTAGTGAACAGAGTCCCCCCTGAGACCCTATAGGATAAATCATGCAGAAAGTGCAGGAAGGCAGTGGAGAGCAGAGCAGGAGCACTGGTTGAGAATCATATGATCTGAGTCTGCTTCTCTTAAGTATCTTTAGTCAAGTTCTGTAACTTCACTGAGTCTCAGTGTCCTCATCTGTGAATATGGTATTTTTCTTGCCTGTCTCACAGGTACACTGAGAAAAACAAACATGGTCAAGTATATAAACCCGTAAACTAAAAAAGGAGCCATCAAATTCTGGCATATTTATTAGTAGTGTAACTGTGCTGGTGGGCTCTTGCTTTTAATAAAGCTGGGATCAGCTGGCACCTTTAAAAAGGTTGCAAACAGAGAGGTATGAAAAGGTAACCTGTAGTCTACAGGGGTTGGTACAGAGAGGGTGGGAGACATGCATTTTGATTCTAGTTTTGATTAATCTTACCCCTCTAGCTGTCCCAGTACCCAGCATCAAGCTCTCGAGCCCCAGATTCTTTGTGCTCCAGGGAAACTCTAGCTGTATCCACCCTTGGGTTTATCTGAGTCTTGTACTTATCGGGAGGCTGTGTTCCCCTCTTAATCATAGAACTGGAGAGTTTCAGGGTTGTAATCGACTGTGTGGTTCATCTGGCCTAACTCTAAGCAGACCCTAAACCCACTTGACCCTAGCCATAGGCCTCTGCTACAGTGTGGCAGCAGGAGCCTGTGGGCATGGGCGCTGAGTCAGCATCCTCCTGACCAGCCAGTGCCCAGCAGGCTCACACCTGTGAGGTCACGCTTGGTGAGCTCAGCCTGTCCCAGCACCGGGCAATTGGCCAGACGTTGTAGTGTTGGCGGTGAAGGCGGGCAGGTGGTAGGATGCTTTATAACTCCAAGTGAGGAGTGTTGGGAGGGGGGGCTGCTGTGGAGCAAAAGATCCTCCATAAAGGCTCATTACAGGCCCTCCTTGATGATATGCAGTCATTTTTGGGGGACAGAACTGCTGCCAGTCAGGGGGCATGGGTGGCTAGAGGTGGGGCAGAGAGATTCAGTTGGTACAACAGTGGAAAATGGGCTTTTCTGAGGTCAGAAAGCTCCATGGTCCACACAGATATGGCGACATGTGCTTTGCAGAGCTAGAATCACAGTCATGAAGGCCGCAGGGACAGAGGAAATCCCATGAAAACTCAAAAAATGAAGACTCTTCCTTCCCTCCCTCCCTCCCTCCCTCCCTTCCTCCCTTCCTCCCTTCCTTCCTTCCTTCCATCTGCAAGGAAACACTGTCTCCACTGCTTTCCTTGTCAACTCCACCATGCTTGCCAGGATGTACCACAGGCATCACCTCCCCTGAGAGGTCCTTCCTGGCTCTCCCTTCCCCCCACAGCAGGGTCGGGTGCCCCTCCTTAGAGTTCTCAGGGACCCTTGGCCATCAGTCTCCTCCATGGGATTTGTACTTTTCCAACTGTGGTTGTAGCACATTAATGAGTCATGAAATGAAAATAGACCAGCACTTCAAACAAAATGAAATAGAATGGGGAAAAAGAAAGTGAATCACACATAACAAGAGTTACTCTTGTTGCATGAAACATTTGCTTTACTTTTGTGCCTCCCCATATGTGTACAGAGAAATATCATAAAATGCATTTCTTAATGTGGGTCTCTGTCAAAAAAGTCTGAAAATCATAGTTCTAGAGAGTGAGTTACTTCATGCAAGGACCATGGTTCACTGGAACAAGGCAGACCATCCAATGCATATGTATCAGCTGCAAATAAATGTGCTGTCGCCATGCCAAACAGAAATGCCCAGGCTATAAGACAACTCTGTAACCAACCTGGGGAACACCCATGTCAATCTGAAATGGCAACTTATGTCAAGCCAGGATTGCATTCCATTTACTTCAATTTCAAATGTGAGCAGCCCTTACCCAGGGAGGTGCTGTAAGGCACACCAGAATGGGTAGATCAGTCTCTGCCCTTAAAGTGCTTGTCAAGGTGGGGCTGATTAGTACACCAGTAAAGACAGAGAGACAGGTGTCAAATGCCATGAGGTGTGAAAGAAGGGAGCGTAGTGTGAGGGGAGAGCGAGAGAATGAATGAAAATGTGTCATGGGGTCATCCAAGGGGGCATCAAAGGGTTAGGAGACATTTGACACCATCTTTGAAGGGTGGGTTGGTTTGGGTTTTGACAGGAAACATGAGGGGAAGGGTGCTGAAACACCCACTAGAGGTGCCTCACCTCCATGTCTTTCAGGGCAGACAGCTGGTCTCCCTGCAGCAGGGAGTGTAGATGGGCTTCTCGCTATCAGCCAATAGTCTTGATGAGATGCTTGTACATTTTCCTTGCCATCTGCTGCCCTTCGCAGCCAATGACACGTGTTTGCTGCCTTCAGAAGCAGAGCTTCTGTGGCTGGCTGGTGAGAGGGGTGTGAATTTGAATGGGAGTATTAAACATAGATATTAAATATTGGACATCCAGCAACAGCAAGGTAGCTCAAAGCTGTCTGACCAGGTTAAGTTTTCATTTTTTGTGTTTTTTTGGTGCTTGTTAAATTACTTTGAGCCATTCCCTTCATTCACTTTTCTGCGTATCTAGTTCAGTGACCCCTGTGTCCCGTGTCTGCATTGTCGCCTACTTTGCCTCAGTCTGGTGACATATGGGGAAATAGGTTTTCGTTCACTGTGTTGCATTAAGACACATGGATGTTTTGTCAGAACCTTAAGGATCAGGGGGGCTGTATATCTTAAGTGTTATGTTCCCTTTACCACTGGCCTCATGCACTGTGGAAGTCTAGAGACAGTTCCCAACTTGGGTAGCCAACCGAGATAGAGGAGCTGGCGTTTGCAATGAAAACCAATTCCCTCTGGTTTGTGTCTGTTTTCAGAGCCAACATGACTCAAAGCCGCAGTTCCTACTCCTTGAACAAACAGCTCATCATTAACATGGAACCCCTGCAGCCCCTGCTGCCTTCCCCCAGTGAGCAAGAAGAGGAACTTCCGTTGGGTGAGGGTAAGTACCCTTCCTTCCAGAAGATGGCATTGCAGGCTTACCCTTAAAGGACGAGTAAGGCGCCAGTCCTGGGTACCTTGGTAATGGTTGGGGTGGGGGATGAGAATGAGTCATAAGCTGTTTCTTTCTTTCTTTTTTTTTTTTTTTAAAGATTTTATTTATTTATTTGAGAGAGCGAGAATGAGAGAGAGAGAGAGCACATGAGAGGGGGAAGGGTCAGAGGGAGAAGCAGACTCTCTGCTGAGCAGGGAGTCTGATGCGGGACTCGATCCCGGGACTCCAGGATCATGACCTGAGCTGAAGGTAGTCGCTTAACCGACTGAGCCACCCAGACACCCAGTCATAAGCTGTTTCTAGTAAATAAGCTGTTTGTGGCTGGAAGACTGCATTATTTTGAGAGTTCTATCAGTTTCTCCTAGAGAAAGTCCATGGATACAAAGTAGTCCTAGTGTTAAAGCAGTAATGCTGTTAGACCCTGCCCCCACCCCCCAGTGTCCAGCATGGTAGCCACCCACAAAGTATGGCTATTTAAAACTAAGTTTAAATTCATTAAAGTTAAAAATTCAGTTCTAGCCACGTTAGCTGCATTTCCAATGAGTAATAGCCACACGTGGCTAATGGCTACCATCATGGAAAGTTCAGACCAGGAACATTTCCATCACTGTAGAAAGTTTTACTGAATGGTAAGTTTTTATTATAATTAAATTAGTGGTTGTAAAGAATTCTCCAGTATAAAGTGTCTTTAACTGGTCATTCTGTTCTGCCTCAATATTTCTTCATAGTTATATTCCCTTTTCCATAGGCCTTTCTCTGATAGTTTTGATACAAGCTAAAATACATATAGTCCACCTCAACCCAAAAGTTGTTACATTTTTAAGGACTGTACTGTATGTGCATCTAGGCTTTTTTTGCTTTTAAGGATTTTACTTACTTCGGGGAGGAATCTCTCCACACTGCTTGCTGGAGACATTTCATGAGGCAAATCTCACACATGAATTATCAAGGTATATTTTAAAATGCACTCAAAATAAAGTTATTGGAACCCTGAACACAAACATAACATGCTTTTCCTTTGGTGACTTTGGTGTCATCATTTAAAATTTGGATACGGGGCAGTTGCAAGAGGGCAGGTCTCTCTGTCCCCAGAAGATCTCCTTCGCCTGCAGCCTCAGTTCATGAATCCCATCCATAGGGGAAAACTCTAGAGCCTGTAATGAGCATATGGCTTGGGATGCAAATATCCTTGGGAGAAGTAGCAGCTCACCTCACACTGAAGTGTAAATAATTTTAGTAAATCTTTTCCTGGAAGGAAGTTTAATGGTTAGGAGGAGAACTGGACAGCTTAGATGCCCCAGATTCCGTGGGTAGGAGGAAAGCATTGCAAAAGAGGAAGGGTGGGGCCTTGGGAGACATCCGTATCCCAAGCTGAGCCACAAGATGATGACAATGAGAATGGTCTTGGTATACTCGTGGCCTGTATTCTTGGTCTTAGCAACCAACTCTGTAAATTCCATGCTAAGTTAGTTTTCTTAGCCCAAGGGTCTCTGGGTCCATGTTGCTTGTCTGCATTTTCCAGCACCCTCTCTGATTTTGTATGTTTTTCAACTGTAATAAAAGTAGCTTTCATTTCTGATCCCCAGTGATTTTTCTGGACTTCCTCTTGTAGAGAAGGAAAAACTCTTCCCCTTCAAGGTCTTTCAGCTGGACCCACATTTATGACAAATTAACAGGAGAAAAAACCCTCAAGTTTTATTATGGGCACATGGAGGCCCAAAGTGAAATTGAGACCTAAAGAAATTATTAAAGCAGGCAATTTGTATACATTTTAGACAAAGAGACAATAAATTGGGGAGGAATTGACAGGATAAACAAAACAGGTGTTTGGGAGCTTTAATTGTTAGGGAATTCTAAGCAGACTTTAGGCTAAGGTCTAGTAGATTAGAAAAAAAATAACACGGTTTGCTTCTACAGTTTTCTCAGCTTTGAAGTCCCTATCTCTGGTGACAAGGATGTCTTTTTTTTTTTATGATTTTATTTATTTGTCAGAGAGAGAGAGAGAGCACAAGCAGAGGGAGGGAGAAGCAGGCTCCCCGCTGAGCAAGGAGCCCGATGTGGGGCTCAATCCCAGAACCCTGGGACGATGACCTGAGCTGAAGGCAGATGCTTAACTGACTGAGCCACCCAAGCATCCCAACAAGGATATCTTTTTACTTTTAATTACAGGGAGAGTGTTTTTCATAAGGGAGATTTGTTTCCTGCTGTCAGAGGGACAGTGGAGGGTCTGAGTAGCTTTAATTCAGAATAATAAATATGCACCCTGATACATTTTGGGTGGCTTGCCCTTGACGCCTACATGCTCCTATACCTGGAATATTTGGTTTAATACAAATCCCTTTCTCTGGAGGTCCTGATTCTCCCAAGTTTGAATGGAGAAGAGGAAGGGAAAAGGAACAACCCAAGCCTGGAGTTGTGACTGTGTCTTGTCTGCAAAGATGGAAACCTAGATGGGAACAAAAATTCCATGGGGAATATGGAAGTTAGGCCACTCTGGCCCTATGAGTCACCCCCCAGGATATAACAGGGAACTGGGCAAGCTTTTCCCTGGACCCTTTACCCTATTCAATTAAAAGCCATTTTGCTCCATTTTCTATAATGAGGCTCCACTGCTAAATCCTAAGCTTGGCTTTAACACGAACGCTGTGGACAAGAGACACATCCGTTATAATTAACTGCAATAAAAATAAAAATTTTCAGGATATGTGATAAGAATCCATAAGCCACCTTTTCAATTTTTCTGGTTACTTTAAAGAAGAATATTAAATTCTTTCACCAGCTATAAAGTCAAACTCTGATAGGTTACTCTCTTAAACGTCCAAAATGGCTCTAAAAATGTCTAATAAAACTTTTTTTTATTAGGCAGTCCCCTTGTGGGACATCTTGTGGGTTTTGAAGCTCAGGCAAATCCTATCAATCTCCAGGATATAGAATCAACTTAAAAGGAAAAGAAGTAAAAACGACAGTATTGTTAGGTGTCCAGTAGATGGAATGACCTTCTCAGTCTAGAGAAAGAGCAAAATCATTTTAAGTCCCATTAAATTCAGAGTTATGATTCCCACAGTGAACCTAGCTCTGTGTTCTTTTTTTTTTTTTTTTATGTTATGTTAGTCACCATACAGTACATCATTAGTTTTTGATGTAATGTTCCATGATTCAGTGTTTGCGTATAACACCCAGTGCTCCATGCAATCCGTGCCTTCCTTAATACCCATCACCGGGCTAACCCATCCTCCCCTCTAAAACCCCAGTTTGTTTCTTGGAGTCCATAGTCTCTCATGGTTCGTCTCCCTCTCCGATTCCCACCCCCCTTCATTTTTTCCTTCCTTCTCCTAATGTCCTCCATGCTACTCCTTACGTTCCACAAATAAGTGAAACCATATGATAACTGACTTTCTCTGCTTGACTTATTTCACCTAGCATAATCTCCTCCAGTGTTCTTGATACCATCATATCTCTGTTACTATTTTAGAGTCTGATTCTGCTCCGAATGTCTTGTCTTTGAGTATCAGGCAATGGGATTTAGACAATCCATAGGGATAAATACTTATTTTATAGATTTGTATTTCTCTGGTATGTAAAGAAAAGAGAGGCAGAGACCACAGCTTTAAACAAAGATGTCTCCACCTTTGTGGGTGAACTGCCTTTCTTGGCACATACAGTGTGATGAATTTAGTTTCATCTTTGTATTTTGATATTTTAGTGTTTTTATGCCTGAGCCAGAGCCAAATTGAAAGAAGCTAGGAATTCATTCATTCCTTAATGCAACATCTGTGACAAATACAACTGATACAACTGGTAGACCACACTTAGTGTGTGCAGGTTGATGTGGCCTATATAGATGTAGACACTGTCTTCCTGAAGGCTCACAGCCTGTTGGGGAGACAGCAGTGAAATCACAGGGGTGATGAGTAGGTTCTGGCCCTGCCAATTGAAAGTGTGCTCACTTTTCTGTGTCCCTCATGAGATAGCAGTGCTTCAAGCTACCTGGAGAGTGTCTTGTTCCCCTTTAGTCTGATTAGAGTGTCTGATGAAAAATTGGGAGGCCAAAGAATGGTTGGGTGGGACTGATAGGCAGAGGGAGTTGTGAGTGGTCTGGTCTACCTGCATTGGTTGCTGGTTTAGCTTTGGGGAAGAAAAAGGTCAGGGGGAAAAAGTGAAAGGCAAGGCAAAGTTAAGAAAGGACCAGATCATGATGGGTCTCCATGACTTGCCTGGAGAGGTTAGACTTTAACCTGAAGGCACTTGGGAGGCACTGGAGGATTTCCATGCCTGATTGGAATTGTGTTTTATATCATTTGTGGTGTAGAGAGGGCAGAATCGAGGCAGGTGTGGCTGGTGCAGAGTTTTTCCACATCAGCACCATTGACATTTTAAGCTGGATAATTTTTTGTTGGGGACTGTCCTGAGCATTGTATGATGTTTAGCAGCATCCTTGGCTTTTACCCAGTAGATGCCAGTAGTACCCCACCTATCCTGATAAACAAAAATGTCTCCAGGTATTGTCAGATGTCCCCTGGGGAACAAAATTGCTCCCTGATTGAGAAGCTCTGGGTTGGAGGCACAGAGATCACACAGGAGCCATTGCATAAGCCCAGGAAATAGAAAAAACAAGGGCTGAATGAGGCAGAGGGAGTGGGGCCAGGGAAGAGACAGTGCCTCCAAGCTAGTAAAACGGTAGAGTTGTTGAGATGGGGTCACTGCTTACCCAGTAGGTAAGCAGCCCGTGGACTCCTGTCCAGGTTCTGTCCTTGTCTCTGAGAATGAAAAGAGTTCAGCCTCTTTAAAGATGAGACTGTTGAGGCACAGGAAGGCTTAAGTGACACGTCAGTATCACACAGGGAGTCAATGGCAAAAATGATTTCATTTAGATACTGGAGCCATTGAGAGAGTTCCATACTGTGCATTGCCTTGCTGAGCTTCAGACATGGAGTGGAGGACACCTG